GCTCCACTCTCCTCCCACACCCCAGGGAGATTTCCTCTTGCACCCCCCCCCCCCCCCTTACATCATGGAGAGCGGAGCCCAGAAAAGCGCATGTGCTGGATGAGGTTGCCCCAAGGAGGGGTGGAGGTGGGAGCTGTGCACCCCCAAAAGGTCCCACAGCCCTTCCCAAGGAAAGGCAGCCAAGGGGAGCAGGAATCAGCCAGGTCTGAACCAGAAGAAAGCTTGTCAAGTGCCGGTTATGGATAGAGGTCTTGCATAGAGGTGGAAAGAAGGCAAGTGTACACGGTGGAGGGCGCAGCTGTGGGGGGAACGCACCGGCCTTTGCAGTTTACGACTTTACTAAACAGAATTACTGCAAAGGTCGGGGGTGCTTAGCAGCGAAGCATGTCCTTTTCTGAGCACTCTTTGGAGTGCCTTTCTTGGAGGGAAACAGGGTGAAAGGACACTGCCTTCATCCAACAGCCCTTGAGTGGTTAAAAAATAATATTAAATATTGTGATGAATATTTTAATAAATATTTACATTGTAAAAAGAAAAATAAAATCCATTCCCGATGGTCGCTGAGGATATGCAGGTGCGTCACTTTAAGTTCAGGGTGGGCTCACAGCTGAGTTGAAAGGAGCTTTTCAGAATCTGAAAACTACTAGCGCGACTGTCAAAGCAGGATCGGTTTCAATGCAACAAGTAGTCATTTCCCGTAAAGTGATCCTAAAATCCTGAACTGCCAGATCCTTAACATAATTTTAGGATTTTGCAGTAACCTGCTGTGAACCTCAAGAAAAATCTCCGGCTTTTAGGAAGCTTTATGCTGTTTTTTTCTCTGCCACTTACATCGTCATTTGAGGAAGGATACAGCTGAGGAGAAATACCAATTAATCAAAAATAATGAAGAGAAATGAGATTAAATCACTGGCCCTGATAGTAACCTATGTTTTATATCACTGAATAAATTCTGGGTGTTAAAAAAATGGATCTGCCCACAATGGCAAACCTTGCAAGTAATTTCTGTTTCTCAGAAAAGCAAAGTTTAAAAAAAAAACCCAAACAAAGAAACAAACAAAAAACCCCCCAAAGAAGCCAAAAAGCAGCTTTGACTGTTTCTCGCTGGGTTTTGAGCAGTCCCCAGGAGGGCTCCCTGGCGGCGATGCCGACAGATCTGGACCACCAGGAAGGTGGGGGTGCTGTGATGATGCTTCAGCTGGGTTTGGGGGCCACCCCCTCAACAGCGCTCTTGGGGTTTGCTTTTGGTGCATCTGCTGGATACGCCCAGATGCAAAAGATTTGACGGGCTACGTGCCCATACACATTATTTCTGGATCTCTCAGTAAACCGTTCTGCCAGCCACTGGCCCAGGGTTTTTGCAGTGCATCCCCCCCCCCCCATGGTCCCCCCTCACCGTCACGCTGGGGGCTGGAGATGGGAGGGTTTGCCCCTTACGGAGTAGACAGATCCTGCATATCTTGAGACCCCCCAAGGGATTTCTCCTTCCCGGCACCCTGGAGACGAGATTGGTGGACTCAGACCAGGAGGTTTCTCCCATCCTGGCCCCATGGATGCAGCCGATGTTTTTTTCCGTTGCAGGTCCAGCTGCACTGCTTCACAGCCGATAACAGGTGGCTGTTGCAAGGTTTCACCCCCCCATAACGTCCCTGAGACCGTCCTTTAAATGATCCGGGGGCTTGGCTGTCCCTCGCGCGATGCCCCCTTTCCTATTCAGCCAGCAGCATCTCTGGACCACCCTGTACGGCTTTACCGGCCCAGCTCTCCCCAGCCACTTGACGCTAGCTTGAGTGAGGGCTAGAGCCGTGTGTGTATATATCTATATCTATATCTATATCTATACCTATATCTATATCTATATCTATCTCTCAACCTGTGCTGCAAACTTGTTCATGAGCTGCTTGTTGCAAGGTACCCAATATGCATTTTCCACGGAGCATTATTGCCTTTGCAGGAGGGTCCACGGCATGCACGCCGGTGCTGTGCTGGGGAGGTTTTTCTCGCCTGGAAAACCGTGCGGCTTGGGAGAAATTCAGCAACAGGCTGCAGGACCCCAGCTGTGAGACAATTCCTCCAGGATGGGGGGGGGCTTCCACCCCCCAGCTACAGGGACCACTCTCCCGCGCACGCCGGGCCGTGGGTTTTTTCAATTTCTCCCCCCCCCCCCATGGTCCCCCCTCACCGTCACGCTGGGGGCTGGAGATGGGAGGGTTTGCCCCTTACGGAGTAGACAGATCCTGCATATCTTGAGACCCCCCAAGGGATTTCTCCTTCCCGGCACCCTGGAGACGAGATTGGTGGACTCAGACCAGGAGGTTTCTCCCATCCTGGCCCCATGGATGCAGCCGATGTTTTTTTCCGTTGCAGGTCCAGCTGCACTGCTTCACAGCCGATAACAGGTGGCTGTTGCAAGGTTTCACCCCCCCATAACGTCCCTGAGACCGTCCTTTAAATGATCCGGGGGCTTGGCTGTCCCTCGCGCGATGCCCCCTTTCCTATTCAGCCAGCAGCATCTCTGGACCACCCTGTACGGCTTTACCGGCCCAGCTCTCCCCAGCCACTTGACGCTAGCTTGAGTGAGGGCTAGAGCCGTGTGTGTATATATCTATATCTATATCTATATCTATACCTATATCTATATCTATCTATCTCTCAACCTGTGCTGCAAACTTGTTGATGAGCTGCTTGTTGCAAGCGGTACCCAATGCATTTTCCACGGAGCATTATTGCCTTTGCAGGAGGGTCCACGGCATGCACGCCGGTGCTGTGCTGGGGAGGTTTTTCTCGCCTGGAAAACCGTGCGGCTTGGGAGAAATTCAGCAACAGGCTGCAGGACCCCAGCTGTGAGACAATTCCTCCAGGATGGGGGGGGGCTTCCACCCCCCAGCTACAGGGACCACCCTCCAGCCCGGCATCGCCACCCCCGGGTCGAGCATCCCCAGGCTGCAATTCAGGGGGGGGCAGCTACAAAGGAAAAGTCTCCGCGGTGCCGAAGCCGGCAATTCGGCGTGCCTCGCAGCTGCCCGTGTGCCCTCTCCTCTCCAGAGACTTCCCAGCCCCACTGAGGTGTGGCAGGGCTGGACCCCCTTTGCTCAGAGCCTGCCTATGCGGAGGAGGAGAAAAAGCGCTCTTTAGGGCTCAAGCAGCAGGTTCTTGGGAAAACACCACACAACAACAACAACAAAAGCAAAGCAACAATTTTATTAAGCTTCAGCGTCTCAGCTAATTTCCCCCCCCCCTTCCACTTTGCACCAGGGTTGGTGGTGCAGGAGATGGATCCTCTGCCGATGGTTGGGGGTCCCCGGGGAGGGGTGGGCACGGGCTCCCCAGGCAGAGCGTGGAGGGCCACAGGCAGAGGCTCCAGGAGCCCCGTGTCCCAAAACAGAGGTGCAGACTGCTCAAAGGGGTGGAGGAGAGCCCCAGGACGGTGCTCCCCAGCAGGCAGGCAGAGCCCTGCCCGCGCGTGGTGTGGCACCAAGGTTAAGTGTCAAAGCTTGCGGGACCCCCCTGCTCTCCCCCCCCGGCTGCCAGCAGCCCCGGTGGGAAAGCCGGCAGGGACTGGACGGCTGGTTGAGCCCAGGCAGGTGTTTGTCCAACCTCCAAATGGTGAGCTCACCCTACAAATTCCCCTCCAGAGCCCGTCCAGTCCCTCCCCTGCTGGAGATGGAGAATATTTGCAGCCGTTGAAGCTGATTTTCTTGTGTGTCCCCTCCTGCACACCCAGAGCCATCCCAATTTGCGCTCTCGCTGCGTCTCTTTACTCTTTTGCACTATCAGCCGACCCACATCCAGCCCTTAATGGTGCAAATCACCCTGCCCCGTTGCATGGCTCAGACAGAGCTGGATCCAGGTTTGTCCACTTTTAACTCAAGTCCTAGAGAGATCCACCTGGCAGCTCCTCCCAGCCCCATCACTCCCCAGCTCAGCTGCATGCCTTGAGGGCTTACACTTGTTTCCCCAGGTCCTTAACCCCCAGGAGGCTGTTTAGCGTCTCTCCCTAATTACAGCGGTTAACCCCCAGGAGGCTGTTTAGCATCTTCCCTAATTAACGGCAGCCCGTGACAACCTCCTCATCCCTAAGGTGCAAGTAGGGAGGTCAAGGTCAGACATGTTTCTGGGTTCCTCACCGTCTGTCTCTGCCAAGGTCCTGCATCGGCCTTAAGAGGTTTAATTTCTAATTAATTGCTGTCCTGGTTTCGGCAGGGACAGAGTTAATTTCCTTCCTAGTAGCTGGTACAGTGCTGTGTTTTGGATTTAGGAGAACAATGATGTTGATAACACACGGATGACACTAGTCACTTCTCAGTCAGTTTCCCGTGCTCCACCGACTGAGCAGGCTGGAGGTGCACAAGAAGCTGGGAGGGGGCACAGCCAAACTGGCCAAAGGGACATTCCATACCATGTGACGTCATGCTCAGTACATAAACTGGGGAAAGCTGGCCGGGGGGGCCGCTGCTCGGGGACTGGCATCGGTCGGCGGGTGGGGAGCAATTGTACTGTGCATCACTTTCTTTGTGTATTATTATTATTATTATTATTACTACAGTTATTATCATTTTATTTCAATTATTGAACTGTTTTTATCTCAACCCACGAGTTTTTCTCACTTGTGCTCTTCCAATTTCCAATTCTCTCCCAGCGGGGAGGCGGAGTGAGCGAGCGGCTGCGTGGTGCTCGGTTGCCGACTGAGGTTAAACCACAACAATTGCTCTCCTCCTGTTTCTCTCTGTCATCCCACGGGCTGCTTCTGCCCTGGGTTTCCCTCGTGCATCTCAGAGCTGTGCAATGGTTGCTCGGGTGGACTGTTGTCACCACCACCGAGTGACATCGATTTGCAAGGTGCCAGGCGTCCAGTAGCAGGGCTGGGGTTTCCAGGTGCTGCCCAAGGCATCGCTTCTCCTTCCCATCCTTGCAGCCGATTTCCAGCCCCGCAAGCCTCGGGCATCGGACAGAGAGCCCAGAACCGCGGTACCAGCCCCGGAATGGAGGTGAGGCGGTGGCTACCGGCATGAGGCCAGCGCGTTAGCGGGTGGCATGGTAACCCCGCCTCCCCCACTAGCAGCACCCCATCCCCTGGTGCCCCCCGGGCTCTCCCCCATGCCGCTGGTAAGGGGGGACCGGGAGCTGCTAGGTGCCAGCTCCCCAGTGCTGGGAGCCATCACCCAGGGCAGGGACAGGTATTTCTGCACCTCGATGGCCGGGCTCCGGCGGTCAGGGTCCAGCGTCAGCAAGCGCCGGAGCATCTCCAGTGCCCCAGAGCCGAAGCCTCGCCAGGACGCAGGCATCCCCCGCCCCGCCGCGCCACCCTGCCAGGCGCTGAAGTCCTCGAACTGGGGGTCGGAGCTGGTGGCCACGGCCCAGGGGAAGCAGCCGGTGCAGAGGCAGAAAAGCAGGACGGCGAAGGCCCAGACGTCCAAGCTGGAGTCCAGCTCCAGCGTGTCAGAGACCTGGAGCAGGCAGAGCTCCGGCGGGGAGTAGGGTAGGGTGCCAGACATGGCACCCACTGCCGAGCCCTGCACACGGGTGAGCCCGAAGTCGCCCAGCTTCACCCGCCGGCACTCGCGGTCGAAGAGCAGGACGTTGTCCAGCTTGACGTCCCGGTGCACCAGGGCACGGCTGTGCATGAAGTCCAGCGCCTCAGCCAGCTGGGATGCGCAGCGCTTCACCAGCTCCTCCGCCAGGCCCTCCTGCAGGGAGGGTGGTACTGTCGCCCGCCGCACGGCCCCCTCCCCAAAGGGGCTGCTGCAAGCACGCAGACCCCTGCCCAGCACCGCCAACCTGTGCTTTGCCCCACAGCTGCCTGTAGCCACATGCCCGCACTGCAAAGGGTCTCCGCATGCACAGCACGAGCAAGTACCTCACTGCAAAGGATCTCCTCCCGTGCACGGTGTCACTGCACCCGCTGCAAAGGCTCTCCCTGCACACAGCGTCTCTGCACCAGCTGCAAAGCTGTCCTGGCACCTTCTCCTCCATCCTCCCACCCCTCCTGGCCCCTGCCCCTCTCCCGCAGGGGTCTGGGGCAGCACGCACCCCCGGGTTGAGGAGGGCACACAGGTCCCCGGCGGGAGCGAGCTCCTGCCCGAAGGCGAAGTGTGTGGCGCTCTCGAAGGCGATGGGCAGGGCGCGCAGGCAGGCGGCGTGGCTGGAGAGGCACAGGGCGATGCAATACTCCCGCAGGAAAGCCCGCCGCTCCGTCTGCTCCTTCAGCATCAGCTTGAGGACCACCGGCGAGCCTGGGAAATGGGGAGGGGAGACGAAGGAGGGTCAGCACCAGCTGGGGCACTGAGCAGGACAGAGACAGGATCTGGCATGGGGTGGCTTGGGTAGAGCTGGGGTTTGGCTCAGGTGAGTCGGGCACAGTGGTGGGGCTGTGCACATCTGTGCACATCTGGGGAGCAGGTTCCCCCAGCCAGCAGCAGGGTGGCCCTCCCCGCCCCCCGCCCC